AGGCCATGTATACTTTCAACCTTTGTTTTTAAGGTTTTTTTCCTAATAAAAATAGTTGTCTGTCTGCATTATTATTACTGACCTTCATATTCTTTTTTTTTTTAATTGTAGGCTCCCACCCTGCAAACACTTAGGCATTTGCTTAATGTTGACACATCATGGTAGACCCATTGATCTCATTGGCACTACTCAATTAAAGTGAGCACATGTATGCATGTTTACAGAATCAGGATAGAATACACACTGCTTTCGAATCTTCCTCTCCCTGGGAGCTGAAAGAGCATAATGGAGTTTACTCATAATTCCATATTTAGAAAAAATGTATTATTCTTTTTTGAAAGACATTTATTTGGATTCAGTTTTCATCTTCAGTATCAAAAATGTTCACCTAATTGGGAATTCTCATCAAATGGAATAATTGCAGGATGGAGCCCAAATTTGTGTATTGCTTTTGGAAAATCAAAAAGTTTATAGTTTGGTAAAGAAAAAAAACCTAGGAAAAGAACTGAAGTGCAGTGTGGGTGAACAATGGTACTGTCTTGAGTAATTCATCACTTACCTCTTTCACAAAATTAAACTTTGACCTGTAGAAGGAAGAATGTTGCCTGTGTTCCCTATCTTATGCATCTATATAAGACAGAAAGTCACAAACTTTCTACTTTGTTTAATTTTAATTGTAATACCTCACTCAGATAAAGCACTTATCAGTAGGTCTAAAAGTGCTTTACGGAGGGGAGAGGTATCATCATCCACACTTTAGAGATGCCAAGGCTCAGAGCCAAAGAGATAGAACAGCTCATGTAGGAATGCTCTGCAAGCCAGTGGCAGACCTGGAATAGAGCATACATCTCCCTAGTGCCAGTCTTGTTTTTAGTAAAGGGTTTATTTCTGCTTGGAATTTGATGTTTGAATTTCTGGACTTCCTTGCTGTCAACAAAAGAACAAGATGGATTATGACACCACAAGCAATAGAAATATTTTTTTTTTCGTTGGTTGGTTGGTTGGTTTTTTTAAACCAGGCAGTTTAAAACTTTGGGATTTTTATTTTGCTTTCTTAATTTTCATGCCTGTTTAAGTCAAATGGACGAACACTAAGGAAAATAATTATCTTGATTAAAATCACTACTCTTTCATTTTGAAGGAACAGAAAATTCCCACTCTCATAATCCCCCAAGGAGTTCTATAAAGTAAGCCAGTAGACAGATTAAAAAACACTGACATTTTAATAGAAAGTAAGGGGAAAGAGAAGCACCTTTCAGAAAGCAAAGAAGGAGGAAAGCATCGTTCTTCACTTTTTCAGGTCATCTTTTTTAAAGGTGCAAGCGCCTTGCCTCACTCCTGCTGTTTCAGACAGCATTTCCCTTCGTTTCCAATCACACAGGAATATGCATAGTATGTGAAACCCTGGACCCTCTAAGTCATTAGCAAAATTCCCATTGAGTTCAATGTGATAGACGTTCCCCTTATAGGCTTATTACTCTCCTTAGGAGTTCCCTAAGCATAAGTAATAAATTCATCTAATTCTCCTTGCTATGTTTCATCCAGAGAGCCTGCAACTCACACAAGAATATATATATATTGTGGATGATGTGGTCCTGGAACTATCAGAGCTAGAGGAAACAGCCTCAGTAAGCAGCTGCTTTGCATCAGAAGATACCACTGATGACTCAGGGGTCATGAGTTCTCCATCTGATATTGTGTCTTTGGATTCACAAAATGACATCGTGAAATTAAGAGACCGATCAGCGAATGGTCAAGTGGACTCGGCTGAAACAGAAGTACCTCATGCCGCAGAGTTGTACCCAGTAAGGAATGCCTCCTGTGATAGCAACAGATCTGGAAGCACTCACAAGAGGTAAGCCCTGTTTGCAAGCAAACCTAAAAAGTTGTCTTGGTTGCTTATCTTACAGGAAAACATTTACAAAGCCAACTTCTGTTTCTGCTCTCTGTTGCTAGTTCATAAACCAGTGCCAACATCTTCAGGCTCATCCTAATGAAAAAGTTTGGTCCAAAACTTATATCAAACATCTGCAGCAACTGGCAAATATTGCCTTTTTGTTTTAATTTGTAACTGTATTTGTTGCCCAATGCTGCTGATCTTTGGGGCAGATTTCTCCAAGAAGTCTAAAACAGTTCTATGTCATTGTTTGGTTAACCTTGAGGCATTGATAGCATCTGGGCTGCCGTAATTTTATTGTATGTCAGCATATTGAGCTAAGAAAATAACATTTTGCTCAGATTTGGTTCATGATGAAAGCTGGCAAAAGTCGGATTATGAAAGCTAGATGAAAATGACTTTGCCAGATCCCATTGATGTTTGGAAGATAAATATATATTTACATATGTTTCTATGCATATATACATGAGTACTCGTGTATGTGTAAGCCCTTAAAAGAACTAACTCCACCAGAGATGATTCTCCAGTTCTCTTTAAATCATTTTTTCATAGACAAGTAAGTATTTCCCTGTGGGTTTTGCAACACAAACATTGTAGCATGGAGCTGGTACAGAAGAACTTGGAAACTAAGTAGAAACTTCCTACATGCATCAGTGAAACTGACTTTTCTAGTTATTTGCCAAAAATCACAGTGAGTCAGAGGCAGAATGGCAAAGAGAACCCAGAATTCCCAGTACTTTGCAAATAGCAATGGCAAGCCAATGGCTGCTAGGACAAATGTGCAGCTGTGCCTCCAACAAGGAAGGTGGCTTAAGAGAACTGACAAATGGGCACCTGCCCAGCCTGATGCTGTAAACGGTTTGGGGCCAGACATTTTTGGAAATCCTTGTTCCCCCAGAAGCCCTGCTCTCTTCTCTGTGTTCAGCAATGAATTTTCCATCCTTTCAAAAGAGCATATATCAGGATCTTTTTAATTACTCCCATATGTTTCCAAGGGCCACTTTTCCCCAGTCATGCTAGGGCATAAGTTAACATAGTCAATACTTACATCCTCAGTGGACCATGGGGCTGACTGTATTTCCATCGGTGTCAGTGGGGTACAAAGTCAAGATCCGTATGGATATTTGCTTAACTGGTAGACCTTCCTTACTGTACAATCTACCACAGATACCCAGGGTCTTTTCTGCATGGAAGATGTCATAGAGTGGTAAAATTACTACTGCTAACTTTGTGGGCCTAGTCTAAACTCCACCAAACAGTCAGCTTTGGATCAGGCCTCTTGGGAAGAATAAGCAATCTTCATCTCAGAGTGTGAATATACAACACATTTACTCCATACTGTTCCTGCATTCATCATCAACTTTACTGGGCATGTCTACATGTTCATTAGTGTGCTTTTCCTAATGTGCATTAAATGTAGTACTTCCAGGTGCCTATACACAAGCAGCGAGGCTGCTCCAATGCACTGGAATTCCACTGCGTTGGAGCAGACTCAGTTCAGCAGCCTCCTGCATCTCATGCATCAGTGTCCCCATGCTTAAGTTCAAGCACCCTCACTCCCCCGTTGAAAGAGCTTTAGTTCACTGCCATGTTTAAGTGAGGGGGACACTGATACATGAGACGTAGCAGTGCTTTAATTAGAGCGGCTCTCAGAGCCACTGTAATTAATGCATAGTCCTCCCCACGCTGCCCCCACAGCATGTGTAAAAATGCCATTGTGAGGTACTAGAAAAAGGTGCATTAACCTATTTTAATTCCCATTAACTAAAGTACATGCTTTTTTGTAACACTTTAATGTGCATTAAAATACGCTAATGCAATTTAAACACACATGGAGACGGGCCCACTGTGTAGTAGGGGAGGAGATGCGCAACATGCACAACCCTAATATTCAATTAGTTCCTGGGATCCAGAGTAACGTTAGCCCTAGGAAAAAACCTGTAGTAACTTTACTATATAAGAAACTTACTGTGGGGAATGTGTCCTGTGTCTGCTTCCCTCAGGTTAATTGTTTTCTCTGTGCAGATTGGCATTCTCATCACCTAGCAGCCCTGTTACTCTAAAGGCAAGCACTTGAAAGGGCTAGATGTGGATCTGTTCCTTGCTACTGTGTAATATTTACCAAATTACACCATAGTGACTATGTTGTCAATTTGTACTCCAAATTGAAGGGTCCAAACTGATTAAAAACTTATATGAATATTCATGATAAATAATATATAGCATAATAATGCTCACTTTAATAAATACTTCTTTACTTATCCCTAAATCTCATCTCATACTTGTGACATTTATAGACATACAATTTATGATGACACAGGTAAACAATATAGCATTCCTCATCAGTGTAAAAGATTTTGCAGCCTATGATGGCACGCACATCTCTCAATAAAGGAGAAGACTAGTCACATGGCACCAAAACCTAAGTGACATGCCACAGCTTAAAAGTCAGTGCTTCCATATCTTTTGCTTAACAGAAAGGCAAACATTCCTCATTTTAGACTTAGATTTACCTCAGTCCTGCACAAAAAGATCAAGAAAGTTACAAGGAGAAAGTATCACATGTGAGAGATCTAACTTATCATTCCTGTGAGTGATAACGTTATCCATATGTAAAATAAAACCCTGGCATTGAATTTACGGATACTTGAGGTAGTAAGATATGGATTATTTCTTATTTTTTTAAGTTTATTTTCTGTAAACATGAAATCACTTCAGCTTTAAGGACCTACAGAATCCTGATTGTAATGCTGCAGTGGCAACAACTTGGAGTTTAGTAACAGAGAGACTCTGGGTGCATCTACACATGTAATTAGCACATAGCAATAAACTGTGGCACAGGCAGGTGCAGCATTTACACATACACTCTGGACCACAGTAGGCTGAGCCAAATTGGAGCAGCCCTGGCTGGCAGGGGGTCTGGGGATCAGCCTGCCAGTGTGGAGCTCCTCTGCCCTGTCTCAGCATGCTGTGGAGGAGCTGGCTGAGGCACAAGGCTGCTACAATGCAGGGCTAGCTGGCAGGCAACCCCAGCACTGTAGCACCCTTGTCCCCCAGCCAGCCTCGGTCACCATCTACACATGCATTTTTGGTGCACTAAATAATTCTGCTGTAGGATAGTATTATCCTTCAGCAGAGTTAATTTACTGTGCCCTAAGAGGGGTAACGCATGTAGAGGGTGATGCTTTACTGCACAGCTAATTAGTCGACTGCAGTAAAACACATGTGTAGATGCATCCACTGACAAAATCATTGAAACTGATGTGCTTTGAATACTTGTGCAGCATTGGAAGTGAAATCCAGCTGTACTCCTAACCAGTGTTTGCAAACATGCCAGTATTGAAAATAGTGCGCTTTTCACTCTTCTTGAGGTCAGCTTCTTAAGTCTTCAAAACCCATTTCCTAAGAATGTATTTATTTTTTAAATACCTGCTTGTTTGAAAGTCTTGACTTCTTTAGCTGGATTTAAAGCTGTTTTGAGCACTGCAGCCAAATTTGGAGTGTGCCAGTTTGAAAGTTCTGCTTTCCCAGTAGAGTCATTATTACCACTGGAGTAAAACAAAATCAGCTAGCTTATTTGGGACTGCATTTGGCTCTTCATATGGGCAGGGACTGTCTTTTGAGCCATTGCCGCTCCCTCTGCCTGGGATTTAAACCCCAGTGAAGTCACAGTAGAGTCTGGCAGTAGTGGGGTGTACCATGCTGTGTTGTGTTCCTTAAGCTGCGGAACTTCAAGAGAGAACTATATAGAAAGTGTGTGGATTCCTGCCCATTTTCTACCGGTTCAGATAATTAGGATCTCTTTAAAATGAAATAAAAAATGAAATGAAATAAACAGAGACAACATTTCATTGCTGTGTAGGACAAATAATACGTGATTCAATTTTCACAACCTTGATTTACTTTGAAAATCCAGAAACCAAACAGAACAGTTGCTTTGGTCACAAGAAAGTGCACCATTTAGCAACATCTGTGAACCAGAGTTGTTATGATACCAAGCTCCCCAAAGTCAGCAGTATTACTCAAAACAGTAGTTTGGCCTGGTATTATTTTACAAAAAGCTGACAAGTTTGCTAAACATGTATCACTATTACCAACCATAACGTTGAAAGCTGATTACAATTTTGTCTTGAGTTGCTTTATGAAATAACTGTTTCCAAAGAAAACAGAACTATTATAGAAAGGGCCAAAGACCCTTTTATGTTAAAGCCACTTTACACTGTGCTCTGGCAGTGTAATGAACCCTTGAAGTAGGAATAAATTATGTTTGCAGTGGAAGGGACCTTAGTGTAAATGAAGTTCAAAGTGTTTACATAGTCTAATGATTTCCACATGAGGCTTAGCTGGAGATGTTCTACCATTTTGATTGTTTGGGCTAATTATAGTTGTAATTTGTTTGTGTTAAGGCTCCCAGAGACCTTCAGGCATGGGTGGCTCTATTCATTTAAACTTATTATCATAGGAGATGCATGACTATACTCTAGGCAAATACAAATGAAATGCATTCCAGCCTTTAAAAATCATGTCTGGAGTCTGCACCTGGCTACCAGTAGTAGGGAAAGCCATGTGCATCCAAGAGAAAATCTGGCCCTTAGCATGCAATAGATGTGTATGCATCTGCCAGCATACATCTGAAGTCAGATATGAAATGACATACTTGCTAACTTCATGCATTCAGAAAACACAGGGACTACCACATATGAATCTCAAACAATGTTCTCTCCCGTGCGGAGATGTAGAGGGTGTTTGTTATCTGTGATCCCCAAGACATAGAGACTTAAAAAAACACCTAGAGGTGTCCAAAGCAGGCAACTCGGGTGCTTGTCCAGCAGCCCCTTCACACCAACCATAGGAGGCGCTTGCAGGATCGCTTATTTCTGAGGAGGTAACTTAATCCAAATAGCCACTATCTATTAGATAGAACAGTGAACAAGGAGTCAAGAGATCTTGGTTGTAGC